TTCTAACTGCCTCGTTACGGATTCGCCGACATCAACCCACACGAGCTACGGTTCCGAGACAACGATTGTCGAACACCTGAAGACGTCTGAGGTCCGCTGCTCGAATAGGCCAAGTCTCACAGCCATACAACAAAACAGCCCGTACTGTAGCTTGATACACACGTGTGGACCGTGTCTTCACAATCTGTCAAATATTAGAGCAGAGGCATGCATATGAGCACCTCACAATTTTGGTGTCCCTTGACTTCAAGAGAGCATTCGATTCAGTCGACCGGTTATGCTCAACACACTTGCGCAAAAGGATATGCCCCTGAAGTTTGTGAGTGTCATGCCCTGTTTGTAGTAACTTGTGGCCGCGTGAGAGTGATTCTCCAAAAGTCTTTCTCCAAGCGATGTCCGACAGAGGTACTCACTCTCACCATTCTGTTTAATTGTGACACTGGTGAGGCAACGAGGTGAGCCCTGGAGAATCTTTAAAAACTCCAGTGTCCAAATCTCTCCGGGAGAAACCTTGTCAACCTGGAATACACAAGCATTACTAGACCGAGATCACCCACTTTTTCATGTTTTGTATCCACAAAGTGCAACTTCACGCTGCAGGAAGTACAGTCTCTGGACATGCCTCTGAATGTTCAAGAAATGACACTTGAAATTGTGAGACGTTATACGTATCTCTGACGTTGCATCGGTTTTGACAGTAGATTGACAGACGAAGTGAGCGCATCAATTTCTAAGGCCACAGATGTTTACAATTTGTGCTACTTGTGGCGCCAAGGACACATCGTTGGGTCTCAAAGGATGCGTATATTAAACGACAGCACAGGCTGTGTTATGGCAGACCTGCTGGACGTAGCCACTCCGAATGGGAAATGAGATATACGCATATCTTTGACCGCCCAGGTTTCAGGACTATAGGTGGAACCCCCCTGGGACAAACGAATTTGCCAAGAGTTTTCAATAGCAGAATGTATCCAGCATTACTAGCTAAGCTGGCTGGGCCAGGTGTTACGCATGCTCAGACGAGCGCTTTCTTCCGCGCGACAAGTGACGCAAATTAGAAAACGTGAGTCTGGCCTTTGGGATTCGTGCACTGACCCTATTAGACACACTTCGGTTGGAGCCAATACAACTAATCACAACCTCCAGTGGTTTTACTTGAGTTGTAAGGGGTATGTTTAGAGACTACACGTATCGAAGCAAGACTTAGCTCTTTGAAGGTGCTAGGCGTATTTCAAAAGATGCGTGTTAGGATAGCCCTAGGTCCCTATCCATGTTCCACTTCTTTCTATTCATTACAGGGCTCTATTCAAATAAATTGACATCGGTGTACGGCGATGAAGCACCGGTGTTCTCACCAGCTGTTGTCAGTGATGATGATGTTGCTTTGAGACCCTTCCCCTTCAACCCAAAAAAGCGGTTGGTGGAGTTTTCTCAGGGACAACTACCGGAACCACCGAAAAAATTGTTCAGCTGTAGCACTCCTTCGGTACCTAGCTGCCACCTAATGCAAGGAGGAACGGAGTCTGGGATACTGCCAGGCTGCCCAGGCCAAGACAGGAGCAATGAACCAAGTACCGTTCAACGCTTGAGGAGTGGGTATAAGAGGCCAGTGAGCGAAGAGCTGCAAGGGTGAATAACACTACATGGTTGCCCAGGCCGAAAAAGGCGGTTTGGTTGAGGTCCCCACCTTGAGATTTTGACTCGGAAGTCTGACCCACATGGTAACGGGAGAATGTCCGGTCTTGTATGGGAACCCTACACCTTGCCTCTAAATGAAAAATCCGGACAGCGGGGGACCGGTTGTTAGGGCTTTCTTAGGGGACCCTTCCCGGAGTCACTGACACAATAGCCTGACCCACTTGGTTATGATTGCGCACAACCCGTCACACCAAGGTAACGTCCAATGATTCGAAGTGTCTACGAGTTACGTTGAATAATGAGGTTTGAAGTTTTGAAGTAGCACTTAGGTGTTCTGGCAACTTCTAACTTAAAAATTCTGGGCGATAATTCGGAAAGCTTCAACAGAAAAGCCCGATCACACCATGTATGGCACAAAGCTCGATAGGCGCTCAGCTGCCTGCTGGTCTACGATAGTCCCCGCGCTTTGAAGTGACGGGTGTAAAACTACTCACTGAGCATGCAATACTGTTAGCAACACCATGCTGACTGGGTCGGTGAATGAGTAACATATTGTTCATAAGGATAAACTTAGCTAACCTATGGTTAGAAGTCGTAGGGGCAGAATATACTAGACACAAATCGTCGACATATGCAATTGCTAGTTATTGCGTACCTGGGAGAACCTTCGCTCCACAAAAACAAATTACGTAGCAGGGGAGAAAATGTCATCTTTTGGGCGCGAGAGGGTCTGATGCTTGGGGGAAAATCTGAAACTTACGTTCATCTCACCAACGGCAACCAACTTTTCATAGAGCGCGCACCGACCTTAAGCAGAAAGGATAAAAAATATTCAGTTCAGTAATTCACGGATTTTCACGGATTCACGGATTGATACACAGAATCGAGGCTTTTGCCCAAGTTTCCCGGGTCGGTTTTGTTCTTGTTGGTCAGTGGCTGTCGTTCACCTGAAAGGCACAAGTGAAAAAAGGGTGTAGCACTGCTCTTTATGTTCTCAGCGCGGGGCAGTA